AGGATGATCACACCCTGCACTTTAAGCTTTCCCATGTACTGACATGTCAATTTCCATTAGGTGCTACTGGGAGGGGGGGAGTTGGGGGAGTTAATTAGGTCATGGAGGAGGGCCACAGCTGAGTTGGGTGTGCATTGAAAGCAAGAGAGAGAGCACCAACCGGTCCTCTGCCTTCTGAAAACTTAAGAAGGATAGTTAGCAGTCTCGAGTGCAATGAAAACGGGAGAGCTGACCAATCCTCTGCCTTCTGAAAACTTAGGAAGGATGTTAGCCCTCTCAAAGTCTAACAGAGCACCATATGTAGATGAGGTGCTGGTGCCTCGGTCTTGGACTTCCAGGATGGTGAGGAATAAAATGTTCTTTCCTTAGCTCCTGGTCTGTAGAATCCTAGTCCAGCTGCCCAAATGAAATCAGAGTAAACAGTTGGAGTTTTTACTGAGCTGACCTAGAGATAGGTGAGAACTGACTCCCCATTGAAGTTTGTGTCTATTCCAACAGTCTACCATGGCTTAATGTTTGGATATCTTGTGACTTAGTGACTAGCATCTTGAGTTACAGACACCACATGCATGTATAACTTTTTATGAATTTGGAAACAATTCTTTCCTCGGATATGTAACTAGGATTCCACAGCGAATGAAAAGGCCCTCATGTATAGGAAGTGGTGTGACTTTCCCAAACACATTTTCTTCAGGGACAAAGTTCTTGAGCTCCCAGGGGTCTCTGAGTCACCATCTGGTCCCAGAGCTCATGAATTCCACAGTATTCAGGTCAAAGCTAATCTAGGTATTAAGATGATCACAAAGGCCACAGCCCAGTAAATGGTAATTATTATTAAAGCAGAGTCATTCAAATAAATATGCTTTTAAATGAAAATCACTAGTTCTGGGTTTACAAAACAATTTTACTAGACTACAAGATGGATAGTAACTACCATGCTCCATGCATTTCCCTGTTTAGTATTCTTGTATCTTCAGACTTGAGAAAATAGGTCACTGGGCAGCTCGCTGCCTCTGTACACTAAGACTGGAAAGGGACACTGGAAACCCACTCAGCACTCCTGAGAACCAATCTACCAGGATTATAAGAAGCAGATGTTAGCAAACAAAGTGTGCCCTACTGAAAAACCAGAGCCAGGAAACAAGGTGTTGGAATGTGAGGCTGAGCTAGGCTGTGGGGGCTTCGTGGATTTCCCTTCCTCATTGAGCCTCAGGTCTTCTGACTATGTGGGGAGTCCTTAGGTCCTGTCCCCTCCACTTCTTATTCTCTACACAACTTTTTGCTATGTTCTTTTCTTCCTCCCTTTTCTTTCTTTCCTTTTTTTTTTTTTTTGAAAACCATGGACTTACAGAAAAGAGGAAAGCACCACGTATTAAGTTTTATCTCTGACAAAGTGGAGAGAGATCATTCTGAGGAACGACAGTTGACTTGGTTGGAGAGGTCTCTGTCCATGGTTGCTCACCTTACAACACTGGCAAAGAGCTTTAAAGTTTCCTGGGACAAGAATGACCCTACAAGCATGTTCCTCTACTAGGCCTTGCCTCCTGGTGACCAGTTCATCTCTGAGTTGAGCGATTTGTCCATTCTTGAGGTTGGAACCCTCACGATCCATCACCTCTCAACAAGCCTTCTACAGAGGAACCCTTGTGGGAGATACCACAGACCACAGAAAACAGCACAAGTAACTTGTAGATCATACTAAAGCTGTCGAGCTAGTGACAGGTCACCCGTGAGCCATGCATGCTTGCTAAACATTCTCTTAATACAGCCTTTAAGACCAAGAAAAGACAAAACACACAATTTCCAATGAGTTTTTGGATTCCTTTCAAGTCAAGTAATGTCTTTTACAGAAAAAAAAAATATGATACACTTAACAAGTGGTCCTTAGTTTTTTAGTTGTGTTATTAATGGCCCCAAAACTGGAAGTCTCCAATCCTGGCAATTTATATCTAAGTTGTGAGGACAGAGTCATGGCAGGTATGATTTAAAAAATAGGACTTGGGAAGGATTATTCTAGACTGTCTGGGTAAACCTTGAATCTAAAGGTGTCCTAAAAGAAGCAGAGGGGGGGGGATAGTGCAGAGATGGAGATGAGTACTAATGACCAGACCACAAGCCAAAGAAGCCAGAAGAGGTAGGAAGTAGACTCAGCATGGAGTGTGGTCCCACTGACTCTTCAGCAAGTTGGCAGAAATGGAATCCTGTTATATTCTTAGGGTTTTGTTAACCTCCCCACAGCTTGAGCAGAGAACTCACATGAGCTGGTACAAAGAAGGAAGGGTTAGTCCCAGGGATTTCTACATATGCAAGTGTAATGGGACCGAAGATGGAGGTGGAAGGAAATTTTAGAGTCATACTATAGAAAGTTGAGATTACTTTGATGAGACTTGGTAGAAGTGTCCTCATGAGGGTGCTTTTAGTGGAGTCGGAAGGAATTGAGTGTGTTTGAGAAAGTCTGCTTCAGCTCAACCATGTGGAGAGAGCTAGGCCTCTGGTGACCACAGTGACAATCTGTGGTCCCTTTACTGTTTCTGTCATCATTCCAGAACTTTTTCATGACATTAGTGAGCACACTTTCTATTATGGTAGCTACTGTGCAGGTGTTTGCTGTGCTATGGAAACTGACCTCTTCAAGGATTCATCAGAGGCTTGCTCAGCAATACTGAAAATACATGCCAGACATATTAGCACAAGCAGCTTAAGTACTGACATTGTTTTCTTAAAAAGCTTCCCATTAAAAACAAAACCCAGCTTCACATCAAATAGGAAATCACAAAAATGATAGGAATTTGTTAGTCAGATAGGAATTCCAGAGTTCTAATATACAACTGCACTGAACTAAATGTCCGCTGCAAATTTTAACAGCGTCTCAGAAAGATCAGTTAGTAGAGACAATGCAATCTGAAGTGCACAGAAAAAGGAAGAAAGTGAGTAGAAATTCAGAGCTGTTGACAATCTGAGCACAATGGAAGTTCCAGAAAAAAATGGGGGCAGAAAATTATCCCAAGAGGCAATGGCTGAAAACTTCAAAAATTTGATGAAAAATATCAATGTCCATATTTAAGATCAAAGAATTCCAAACAAGATGAACACATAGTGACCAACACATAGAAACATCTAGTAAAACCCCTGAGAGAAAAAGTTAAGATAGCACCAAGAGAAACCAACTAGTTAATTATGTCAAGGCAACTCCAGCGAGACCAAGAACACCATGGTCATTGGGAACCATGGAGGACAGAAGGTGAGGGGACCGGAGGCTCGAATGCTGGACTGTTGCTGTTGGGAAAGAGCGTAACTAGGAAAACTCTCAGAAACGAAAGAGGAAAGCATTATCCCTAAAGTGAGAGTGGGAACCCACTTCTCAGGAAACGTTATTTGCAGTGGTAGGAAGTAATGTACAGTGATGGACATCAGATTGATGCACGTGTGAACACGGCATTGGTATTAAGAACTATACAATTAGAAAGGTTGGTAAGATGCATCAGTCATCTTCTGCCTTCCCTTATGTCATACAAAAAGAGGCAGAAGAGAGCATACACATGTGATTGCAGTCTGGGACTAAACGTGTTTATGTAAAGGATTAGACAGTGAGAAACAGAGAACACACGTGTGAGCTAACCTGCACTGGAATTACGAGATCACAGAAAATAGTCCCTTTGTCCATGGAGGTAACACAAGACAATGGGTGTGAAACAGTGAGAAGATTAATACTACAAAGTACTGTAACTAGACTCCCTTAATATAGGTGACAGTGGTGTGACTGGGACAATATGTGAGGCCATTGGCAGTGGGTCCAAGACCTAACACTAATGCACAAACTGACTTAGTGAAACCATTCTATATGGAGAGATGCCATACCTAGCCTAGACACGGGTGTGAGAGTGGTGATGTGCCTTGGTCCTGCCTCAACTAGATGATGGGACAGGCTTAGTAGACTTCCTATGGGAGGCCTTACCCTCTCCTTGGAGCAGATGGGAGGAGGGGGAAATGGAGGGAGTGGGAGGGAAGGAGGGAGGGGGAACTGGAATTGGAATGTAAAACATAAATTTAAAAAAGTACAGCCATGCAGATCCTAGTTACTTAGCTCCACTAGGTCCTCATTTTTCTGAGATAACTCAAGGATGTTTTCATCTGCCCCAATACTTGATGCTTTGTCATTAGACAATGCCAAAGGCTTGGCTGTCAGTAAAGAAAAGAAACTCGTTTGATTTGAGGTTCTAGAGGCTAGGAATCCAATGTCAAGATACCTATGGGGTGGGGGAACGGGGCTCTGGAGGCCTTGTCCTGTGTCAAAAGACTAAGGTATGTGAAACAAGAGTGGGAATTCAGTCTCCTGCCCATGTATAATCGGCACGGATCCATTCACGAGCGTGGAGTTCTTGTGGCCCATATGCCTCCAGTGGGCCCCAGCCACAGTGCACTGGTTGCACTGGTAAGTTTACAGCCATCATTTCTCTGAATACTTTCCTGCTCCTTTCCCCTCTGTGGCAGCCCTAGTGTATGCATGCCTACGTTTGACTGGGTTCATTCTGTTCACTATTTCCTTTCTCACTGTCAAAACACGTGTCTCCATAAGTCTATCCTCTGCTAGTTTTACACTGGTGAGCGATCGTCCACAGGAAGCTTTGGAGGGGCACATTCAGGTCCCGGTAGATAGCGGGACTATCAACCGGGATGACTCCAAAGTCATTCTTAACTTTATATACTGTTACAAAAGAATTCCAAGGCAATATGCTTTTATAATCTGTGAAGGAATGAAGCCTACTTTGCCTCGGTGTTTCAGAAATTCAGGAGAGTGTAGCACTAACGTATGTTTGGATTCTGGTGAAAATCAGATGGTAGAAAATAGAAGCATAGTTGCAATCAGGTGTTTATGCGTGAGAACTATGAGAGGGTGTCACCCCATACAATGTACTCTTGTGTAACCAATCCAGTCCCCCCAAAGAAGAATTCTATACCAAACGAAAGGCTGTTTAATCCTTCTTAATGAACTATTTTTCTTTAAAACATTTTTGTTTATTCTTGAGAATTTGACACATTTGTACAATGACATATAGTTATACTTAGCTCCGGTTTCCCCTACAGCTCCCTGTGTCCTTCCCTCATGCCCTCCTCCCAACTCTGAAGATGATCTACTAACCCACTAAGTCTAATTAGTAGCGCTTATAAGTACATTAGAGTGGGTCATCCACGGGAGCATGAGGATCCAATCAGTGGCTACACAGCCACAAAAGAATGTTTCTCCCTCCACCAGAAACAACCAATAGCTCCTCAGTAAGGGGTGGAGCCTGGAGACAACCTAACAAGTCAATGCCAGGATTCTGGCTGGCTTGGTCTTGAATAGATCTTGAGCAGATAACCACAGGTATTGTGAGTGTGACAACCAGGACACAGTATTTCACAGCACTCCCCCCAATCCTCTGGCTCTTACTGCTGTTCCCAAGGCCATGGTGTGTATGGTGTTTGGACAGAGGGTGTTGAAACAGAAGTTCCATTCAAGGCTGAGTACTCATCCTTCACTTCTTCATATCCTTCACTTCTTCTTTATCAAGACCCACGACATTGGAGCCAGTGCTGCAGAAAAGGTCTGTCTGAATAGCATACAGGGAGGAGGAAAAAGACAGTCTCACTCAGTAAAACACAGGAAAGAACATACTCATGAGAGCAATGCATGAACAAAGGAGAGCTGAGGCCCATCATGGCCAACAGCAAATCAGAAAACCCCCCAGTACTCAAAAGAGAGGAAGAAACCCTTAGCAGTCCCACCATCCTGAGCAAACCCACAGCAAATGGCAATCCCTTCTCACTAATAACCTAATGCAAATGTTCTCAACACAACAACTAAAAGATGCATATCAACTCACTGTATTAGAACAAGACCTAACTATTCAAAGAGACACGCCTTATGTGCAAGGCACATAAAAAAAACTGTCTAAGGATGGAAGATGTACTCTGTCAAGCACACCAGTGCTGTGTGGTAGTCAAGAAATAAGAATGCTCTCTTTGTTTAGTGAGGCTCTGATTAAACCAGCACCAGACCATTTCTTCTGCAGGAAACAGACCTTTGAGTTATGGGGAGATAAGAGCTATAAATGTAACAAACTTTACAGCTGTCTTTGTGGTGTGAAGTCCATAGAGGTGGTACAAACAATGGCGCCTGCTCAGCAGCGGCTCCCTGGTAACCACTATTGGAAGAAGCAGCAGTCACTGAGGCTCGGTGACACTACCGCATGATGGATTCTTATTCCAGAATCACCTGAACTCAGATTGGTCTGGGCTTTCTCTTGAGGAGCTTGGCTATGAAGTTCTTTGCCCAACAGAGCCCTGAAGACAAAGGACGACCTTTAGCCCGGTGAGGTAATTGCCTCTGGATAGTTAAACAGGAAAACACTGAGAGAGGTGCCGTCTCTTGCTCTTCACTCCTTTGCATCGTGTGATTTCTGTACACAGGTAATGTGAGCACATGTTTGAGACATATGCTTGATGTTGAAACAGGGTTTTTACTATGGAACCAAGGCTAACCTCAAACCCATAACCCTCCTGTCTCGTGCACTCCTGTCCTATCAGTAAGTCTCAAGAGTGAGTAAATCTCTTTCAATGTGGAGGTCTTTAGAGAATTCCCACTGTATACCGGGGGCCGTTATCCATAATGCCTAATGCTTTACTCAGTGACCTAGAACATGGAACATGAAGTATTGTTTGATGCCAGACCTAAAACACACACACACACACACACACACACACACACACACACACACACACACACACGACTTGGGAGAGTAGAGAACAGATCATTTGGGGGTAAAGATTGCTGCAACTGCTTTAAAGGTTCCTTAGAACTCTCAGAAGACAAAGGAAGAAAAGATCCCAACTCCAGTGAGAAAGCATTGCTTGGGAGTGAGACAGGAAATGACAGCTCAACAGAGGACTCCCTTTGACTCCTTGCAAAGGGAAAATGTGTCTTGGTGGGGGAGTCCCTGCAGATGTAACACACACAAAAACACCACTTTGGGAACTGACCATAAGAGCAAAAACACTCCATCTGTGCTTTGAAAGGAATGAATAAAAAAATGGAAGCACGGAGAATGTGACCAGTTACTACCTCCTACCTGTAAGCATTTCCACAGATCAGATGGGATGGACAGGGATGGAAATGGCACTCGGGAGCCAAAGAGTACTGAGTGTTACAGCTCAGATGGAAAGGTATTCTGGCACTCAGGAGTCAATACTGGTTGATAAAGCTTGGATAGAAAGGTATTCTGGCACTCAGAAGCCAAGGTATACCACGTGTCACAGTAAGCATAGCAGCTGACAGCCTTGCTTCAGGGAGAGGCTTCCCTAGTCTATCAGCTCTATTCCTGCAGGAGAGAGCTTCCCGGTGAAATTGTTACAGTTCAGCTCCATCTCCCACCCCCAGAGTGTAACAACTTCAGTTCACCAGGGGAAGGTTTACCCCAGGGAAAAGTGTTAAAGTCCTGCTCTGCTCTTCTCCACCGGGAGTCGTCTCTGCTCTGGTGAAAGAAGGTCTCACCCAAACCTCATTCAAGAGATTTATTGGGAGGGAAGAGTGGCGGCCCCCTGCCAGAGTAGCAGAGGACAGCAGGGCAGCCTGAACAGCCACAGCTGAACAGACACAGGGATTCTTAGGGGGCGGAGTTTTCCAGCGTGGGGAATGGTCAGATTTCAATCCCTGAGTTTAGAATGGCTACATCTCCCGCTCAGGGATTGGTTAGTTTTCTGCACCTGTTAGGGTCAGATTTGGCTCTGGTTTCAGGACCAAAGTGTGTTTCTTTCTCTGGTCCTTTTTAGCCTTTTGGCTCTAGTTTTAGGACGAGGGTAAATATTTCTTTCACTGGTTCTGATTCCAGGGACAAAGTGTGTTTCTTTGGCACTGGTTTGAGGGGCAGGGTACATTTCTTTGGCTCTAGTTGCGGGGCCAAAGTGGGTTTCTTTGGCTCTGCTTGGGGTGTGTTTCTTTGGCTGGAGCCTTTTCCCTACACTACCTTTTTAGGAGCCCCAGAGATGCACGCTCTCATCATTCCATGTAACATCAGAAGAAACCGATCCACACAGAGGTTCTTTAATTGACATAGGGAGGGCAGGATTAGTGCCTGGGAAGCCTACCTTTGGAGTCCTTGCCTTTGTGTGTTTTTGTCCCTGGGACTTTCTTCCTAAGGTTTCTCGGGAAGGTAGCATGAGACTCGGCAGTCAGGTTTAGGTGAAGGGTGACTTTGCAGGCTAAGCCAGTGCTCAGTGGCCTACGCTGAAAGATGAATTGACACTGAGGTGCTGGATCCCCACCCGACCTTCCAGACCAGGAAAGACGGAAATGAACTTTCAGTGCCTGCATGTCACCAAGTCCAGCCATGGATTCAGGACATTCTAGTCCTATCAGCGCAGAGACTGTGCACCAACTCCTGGACAGGGTCCATGGGGGCACTGAGGCTTGTGGCTCTATAACATTGTCTCAGAAGGCAAAAGGGAGCCATGCTTCCCTGTAATCCACCCCAATTTTAAATAGATCTGCAGCATGTCTTCTTTATTGCGCTGTCAAGATGAGAGCTGACAAGTGGGTAGAGTTCAGTCGGCTGTATGGGCTCTTCATTTCATCTTCCACTAGGGAGCTGTTAAATTTGTTATCCCGCAGCCAAGTGCTGTTCCGTGCTCAAGCTCCGAGCTTATCTGACTTGAACATTAATTATCCTTTATTACACCAGCAGGCCTTCGGTGTCCTTTCCCCCTTCTTCAGAACTATGTGGCCCAAGCAGACAGAGTTCTCAAGGGCGTGCTGAAGGGAAAGCACCTTCCCCAAACTCTTGCGTTAAAAGTTCCGTCTGGAGTGAGCCAGTCTGAACCCCAAGCTTCCCCGCCCCGCCCCCTCGCAGCTCTGTCGGAGGCCTCACATCTCCCAAGAGCGGGACTGTGTTGAGGGGGCATGAAAAAAAATCTTACAAAAACTGAAAGTGAAATGAGGAAGGCAGATTGAGCAATCCATGGAAGGCCGGAGCCAGAGAACCTACTTCAGGGTAGCGAAAGATGTAGAAGAGTCAGGAGAGCGCTCCTAGGGGAGCCTCCAAAGACACAGATGACAGGAAATGACCCACCCCCGTGGCCACTTACTCCAAAGGCCCAGACCTTCGAAGGAATGGATGAGTCTGCGGAGCCCCGGCCACCGTGCCTGTCTTCTTGCCCTGAGAAAGGAGAAGAAATGAAAGTGGGATGTGTTTCCATCACTCCGCAGAAGGAGTGTGCCTGGGTCGGGGTCTGCAGGGATGGAAGGCTGCTGGCTGCTACTTTCCTGCTGGCCCTGTTGTCCAGCGGCCTCACGGTGATGTCCTTGTACTGGTCTGCTGCTCTGCAAGCCGACCTGATGAGCCTGCGCATGGAGCTGCAGGGCTACCGGGTTGCAGCCGCCCCCGCCGCCCCAGGGGCCACCGCAGAAGCCAAAGTGAGTTCACCCCTCCTCTGCCTGTCAGGGAGCCCCAGGAGTGCTGCTCCATGGCTGCAAGTCCAATAACGGGGTGGGTGTCTCTCTTCGTAGCTCCTGGTACCCACAGCTCCGCGAACCCACAACTCCAGCGTCAGCCACAGGAACAAACGCGCTTTCCAGGGTCCGGAGGAAGCAGGTATGGCCGGGGCACAGCAATTAGGAGCTGGGGCTGTGCACACCTGCAGCTGCTGCTATTGTGTACCAAGCGCTTTGTGTGGCTTTATAGCAGATGCAATAGACTGCACGGCACGCCTCGTCCTCCGATAAGTAGGGTGTGTGGACTTCTGTGGGAGATGACAGAGGACGAGAGTGCGTGAATAACGTGCTCAGCAGAGGAGCGCTTCCTGTCACAGCAGAGTGACATGTACACCTGGATCTCAGTCAAGAAGCCGTTCCCAAGGGGGTGCACACCACACAGGGATAGCAACGACTGTTCAATGCTCACCTTCCCCTATGCGGTACAATTTCTGTGTGGTCTCTCTGTACTCCCTAGTATTTTGCAGAGTTGGGATCCGTGTTTGTAGAAACACAGTTTAAATACCCTTGCTGTTTGTTGTCTACTTTTTACTCATATGAAATTATTTTACCTGATAACCAGAGTTAAAAATCACTTAAAGCCATATAAACAGCAGAAATTCTCAAATTGCTAAGTAATATGCCAAAGGCTACAAAAATATTGCATTCATTGCAGTGCCAAAAATCTTCCACAAATTTGAAATTTACTGTATGCAGTGTGAACTGAAATACTTACAACATTATACTGCAATATATATATATATATATAATAGCACTTATGCCACAGTGTATGTAATAACAGTACATATACCACAAGGCATGGGATAACAGCACATGATTACAGAGCATGTAATAATATCCCATATATCATGGCATATGGAATAATCGCAGTGCATGTAGTAATGGTGCATATACTTGGTACAAACAGTAACAGGATGTACAACCTGCTATATTCTGCTTATTTTACAGTAAGATCTCACCGATTTCTTAGTAATTAGTCTTATTTACTATTCATTTAAAATTATTTTAATTATTACTGTGATACATGACACATAATCTTTGTGTATCTCTTGTTTCTGTTGAATTATGCATTGGATAGAATCACACATTCATTATTCGGGTTCCTCATTGTGAAATCTTTGGGAAGACAGGTTTCTACCTGCTCCCTGGCATTTCCCTTTAAACCTTCATTTTGATGCTTTTACAGCTTCAGATAGCTTCTACAGTTTATTTGAATGTGGACCCTGTTTACTAATTATTAAATTTTCCACATGGTTCTAGTTTTTGTTTCAGCTTCAGTTTTTATCTTCGCTAATTTTTATTGTTGGTTGTCATACTTTTTTACATTTTGACATCCATGTAAACACTTCCACTGAATCTTGTGTTTCCTTCAACCCTGTACAGAAATGCTGCATGTATATTAACATGACTTTTGCTTCCTCTGGTTTATCAATGCAATGTTAGAGTGCATTTGCCCCTGGCTGCCTAAGTAATGAGGGGCTTTTGTCATGCCTCAGTGTCCCTGGCTGTTACCTCATTAATCCCTTTTGTTGTGGTAAATCCTCTCACACCATCATCCTTTCCCCTTTCTTTATTTCCCCTTCTGACTGCTGTCTTACACAAACGTTATCAGCTATTCTCCATAACTCTTGTGCTGGTGAACTTGTCACATGGAGTCCTTGATACATGACTGAATTTATATGAGGTGGCTTTATCACTAGCTTAATGTTTTGTCTATGTGTTTTGGATGGACTAAGTAGTTTTACATTTTAATGGACATCAATGCATAGTTGGGTCAGGATGCTACAGTGATTCAAGCCCTCTCTGGTACCCTCCCTGGCTTCTGAAGACTTGTTTTGAAAACAAACCACAGCTTCATCATTCTAAAGAGGGCAGAGACTCATTTCAAGAGCTATAAGAGTAAAAGAATAGCAGAGAATTACGATGTATGTTTTTAATCCCAGCACTTGGGAGCTAGAAGCAGGCAGATCTTTGTGAATTCAAGACTAGCCTGATCTATATAGAGAGAGTTCCAGGCTAAAGAGAGAGAGAGAGAGAGAGAGAGAGAGAGAGAGAGAGAGAGAGAGAGAGAGATTGGGGTTCTGTAAAGATATATTTTAAAAAATCCTGCCATTTGTATATTTTATAATTTGTGATTTAATGCATCCAAATATTCCAGACTGCTGCAAATGGGTCAGGGCAACTAATTAATAATTTGTGCAATTCAGAGAACAATATATTGTCAACATATTATATATATGTATATGTGCCATATTTTGTTTACAAATATTTTTCTTGCATTCATAAACCCAGGAAGGAAGGTTGCAGATATGAGTCTCCAGGGCAGGAAATATGTGTGTTCACTGTCAGTTAAAGTATTGACTGTTGTTTTATGTAGTATCCTTTGAATAGGGAAATTTTGTTTTGTTGTCAGTTACCAGAATGATTGCCTATGGACACATGATAGTTACCTGAAACACAAGGATTTCGAGTCGGTGTTTATTAAAAATACTTTCTCTCTTTTTTTTAATTGAGAAAATTATATGCACTTTTGTAACTTTTTGTGACACATTCGGGTGTTCCTTTCGCTTTCAAAGTGTTCAACAAGGCTCTTATACGTGAACTGCTGTGTGTTTCTGAGCTACTGGTATCTGCAGCCTCCTCTCAACAGAGGAGGAGAGAAGGGCAGCCCTGACCTTCAGTCCACCCGCCAATCCTCTGAGTCCTCCAGGGACAAATATTACTTATACTTAATCTTAAAACTTAGTATTTTGGCGTGAATTTTGTTTTTTCATTTATTTTGAATCTCAAGTTACGGTTTATTAACCTTAATGTATTTTATAAGGTCATTTTTATTACAGTATAATAAACAGAAATGTGGGGAAATCCAGGATTAAAAAATTGCCAAATAGTTTATCATAGTTAACAATTCACTTTTAATTCTTTAAATGTGTTTGGAAAGATTCTTAATTAAAAAAAAACTAAAGCAATATGATTTGAAAATGGTACATAATCCGGTTTCCTTACACATGGCATCACATTGGCCTGTGCTTTGAGCCCTCACCAGCTATGATTTTATTCATTCCACAATCCATATAAAAGCATCTTTAGAGCCTAAAGATGATGAATTCTTTCAAATAGCTTGCTGCCAAACAAAACACTTCTTGAACAGGGCCTGGGGCACGGGCTGTCATCCCAGCTACTCTGGAGCCAAAGGAGGAGGGTTACAAATCCCAGGCTTGCTCTGGCTACAGAGTGAGTTCAGTCCCAGTAGGAAGCAGCTTAGTGAACAAGGCCTTAAATCAAGGAAAGACTGAGTCTGAGGTGTGGTTCAGTGGTGTGGTTTTCACCTTGCATGCACACTATCCCAGGTTCAATGCCCACTGTGGAGATACCTGTTTTAGATACTAGAAAGACAAAATTCTTTAAGACGTCACTGTGTTGATCATTTCGTGGATAACATTTATCTAACCTGTGTTAACAGTAGAATAAAATAGTAGTGGAAACAAGAACAGTTCAGAATCAAAAGCCAGGGTGCCAGAGCCACCAGGGTCCAAAGATCATATGAGTGACATGATCATGATGGTTCAAGACTCATAACCGTATCTCCAAACAATTATTGGACAACGTGGGCCAATTTCCTTTGTTTTTTATCCAGTTTTATACAGTCTTCTCATGTTAGAATTGCTTTTGAATTAGACAGGTTTGCAAAGATAGTTCAGAGCCTGGTGGAAGACCTCTATGAGTACATTTTCCTTTAATTATGTGGCACCAGGCCACAAGAAGAAACCCAAGCTAGTACTCATCTAGGAGCTCAACACCAGATGGGACTTGGGAGTTTGGGGTTCATCCGGGATGCTGTACTGCATTTAACAGTCTTAAAATTTAGAAATCTGAGGATAACGCGCACAGACTTGATACCTAATATTGTAACACAAGGATTTTCTTGGATAAAGGTCTTATATTAAAAATAAAGATGCCAATACTATTTTGAGTGCCCTTCCTTGTTCTCCAAAATCCAGTCCAAGTGAAGGGAAGTTGTGGTATCTGTTAAGTTGGAAATGTCCAGTGTTGGCTGAGCATGCTGGCATTGCTATGACCTGCAGGCTGCACCATATCTGTGAAGGAATGCAGTGCAGAACTCCACCACTTAGGTGGACTTGAGTCTCCTACTGGACCAGGGCAGGCTCCTTCCTAGAACAGCTGGCTGCTGCTAGGTGATCTTTGACCCAGTCTTCTCTCAACTGTTTTTTCCCCTCTCCCCTCTTCTGCTTCAATGGTCAGTCTCCCTTCCCCCTCCCCCAACCCTTTGGGTGTGTGTGTTGCAAGAGCTGGAATCTGTTCAATTTCCAAAAGTGTCTTTAAAAATGAAAATGCTGATCTGATAATCAAATCTCTGAACCCTGTTGTGGGTGAGCTTGAAGTTTTGGGAAATAAGAGCCAGGAAGCCAAGGCAGTCAGTGCAGCCAAATTCAACGCTGAGTCTGTTCTCCAGAGTTATTCATTGTGGTGAAATATACAGAGAAAATGAATGAATCACACATGTAATTTGCTATTATAATACCAGTTGGTGCGTTGAAAAAGTACATGAGACAACTTTCTGAGTATCAGATCCATGCAGGATGCTGGGAGAGGGACTGCCTACCTCTACTTGAACAACCAATATCTCTTCAGGCTTTTAGCCTTTGTGTACTTTTCAGCCATGAATAACTACTTTCAAAACGATTTAATAATTTCAAACAAGATGTTGTTCTTATTAACAGTTCTAGATGGCTGATATGTAGGTTAGCTGTGACAGTCAACACCTGAGGGGAGAGACTTTTGAGGAATTGTCTAAGGCAGGTTGGCCTGTGGGCATATCTATGGGAGAGTGTCCTGGCTGTTAATTTATGTGGTAAACCCAGACCATTTGGAGTAGCATAGTGCCCCCAGAGGGAGGCTCTGAGCTGGGGGAGAATAAAGCTAGCAGCCCAGTTGAGCAAGCGAAAACCTGTGTTCCCTCTCCACTCTTGACTGTGGGTTTGGTGTAGTAGCTGCTTGAATCCCCACCTGGATTTCCTCCAAATGATGGCATCTAGCGGGAACTAACTGTAAGCTAAGTAAGCCCTTTCTCCCCCTGCC